GCTGGTATAAAGCTCCAGCAGCCAATGAGCCCTGGGAAACAAACATGGAATTTCTGTAGCTCCTCCACAGACCCAGGCACTGTCTCCATCTCATGTCCTCATCCCTGGGGCACAGCATGGACTCAGGACAGGGCAGCCTGCAGTGGTGTGGGACATGATGGCTCCTGATGGAGCACAGCTGGGCACTGGAGCAGTGCTCAGGATGGGGTACACAAAAGAATTATTTGGTGACTTTGCAGCCCAGGAGATGACAACACACTACCACAATATGCTGCCTCCCTTCCACCCAAAACCCACAGGGCAGGGACAAGGACAAAAGCTCAGAGCATGTCCTGCTGCAACTTCAAGGGCACTTCTCTCAGTTTTGATGTCAGAGCATTTTTGCCCCATCCAGTGATGGGTTTACAAAAAGAAGGAACAGGTTGGTGCAGGAAGAGCTGAGCTGTGTAAGGATCTTCCACACCTCCAGCCTTCCAGGAGTCAGCTGCTGCTTTGCTTGGGAATGTCATGTACCACCTCTGGGAGTCTGCAGTTGCACCTGCACTGATGCCCTGCTGGCCATATCCCTGCTGGGAATGAAGGGAAATATCCTATGGCAGTCCAAAACATGAGTGAAGGAGCAGGAGAGCCTGGGACATCACCCCTGGAGCATCATCCCTGCCCCGCTGAAGTCCTGTGTCCTTCCAACTCTCATTTCACCCTCAACATTTCGGCTCATCTGACTGTTGAATATCCAGTCTTTGCCAACTAGCTAAGCACAGAAGGAATTTCAGTCCTTGGCTCCATCATGGCACAAGGATGTCTGCTGTGGACAATTACAGCGTGGAAAGAGGAAGAAGGAGGGAAGGTCCCAAGGAAGGAAGATCCCAAGCACTACCCTAAACAAAGAAGACCTTCCCTGCAGAGCTCCAGCTCCAGGACATACCCCTTAATCCAACCAGGAGAACTTGGAGGGGATGCAAACATCAGACACCATATGAAACACAAACATTTATCTTAAGATATGGCAGAATTTTCACCTTCTGTGTTTTTTCTCCTCTGTTGGTGACCTTTGCTGTGCCCAAAGATTTGTGCCAAGGTTGAGGTGATGAATGGTGAATCACCACATGAAACACCAGCAAAGGGGTAACAGTCATTGCAACACTCATACTCCCATGGCAGGGCTGCACCCAGCTCATCCTGATGGCAGCAGAACTGCAGGATTTGGTGTTCCCATTGCTCAACTTCCTAAGAAAACTACCAGCATTAACAAAAAAGGAAGAGAGGAGTCCTTGGCTGTGTCTTATTCTCCCTGAGCTCCTCTTGCCCAGCAGGCAGCAAGGACAGTATGAAAGGAACACCACATCTGGGCATGTCCTCAGGTTTCCCACATTTGCATTCCCAGGAAAATCAAGATACTTGAGCAACTGTAGGAACAGAAGAGAGGCCACCAGGAAATTTATTCCTGTTTGTCTGCAAGCCAACAGATGGAGGTTGTCAGGGCAGAGTCGTTGTGCAATGTAATGACCATCATGGAAGCTTTCCACCACCAAAATATCCCATCACCATGGAACCACTCCAACACCTGTTTACCAATACCACAGAAACATCCTACCACCACAGGAACATCAGACCTCCCCACTACTAGGGTGTCCTACCATCACCGCAGCTTCGTAGAGTGTTCTTGTTCTTCCAGACTGAGCTCAGACCACAGAAATTGGGTGCTGCCAACCCAAGCAGGTGCTCCTCAGGCTCCCCAAAGACCTATTTTGACACACTTTCTGCCTGTTTGGGCTCTTTTAGCCCAAAATAGGCTTTGCAATGCATGTGCTGCTGCCCTGAGACAGCCAGGATTTGAGGGGAGGGAAGGAGTCTGTACATGCTGAAAATACAGGGAAATTTTTCATTTTAAAGTCATTTAACAGATGAAAGTTTTCTTAAAAGAAGTCACTTTCAAAAAGAAAAAACCCCAAACCCACAAAGTTTCTCTAAAAAAAACCTCAGAAAGAAGAAGTTGGATAACAACTGTATGACCAAGACCTAAGGGGTGCCTGGCAAGTTCTCTAAACTGCAGAGAGCGAATTATGAAAAAAAAAAAAAAAAAAAAAGGGGGGAAAAGAAAATGGAAAATGAGTTAGAAAGGGAATTGCATGGAGCTGAAGCACAGAAGAAGGAAAAGCCAGACAAGGCCATGCTGTGTCATTAGTCTGGAAATCAAATGAGGAAGATGAAATCCAGCTCGTAGCGATGTGGGGAGTGGCGCTGCCCCACCACCCCCTCCACTGGGCCCTTCCCGGGAAACCGTGAGTTCAGGGGGAGCCTGAAAGAGCTCCAGGCCCATGGGGCTGTTGCTGACACAAGGAGCCAGAAGGTTCCAGGAGCAAACCAGTTCCATTCCTACCTTTAGCAGTATGAGTAAATAATTGATGCCTGAGGTAACCTGAGCAGGAAGGTGAGCAGAGCCCTGCACATGATCCTGCATCCAACTTCAAAGCCTGGTGGGTTTTCTTCCTGCAAAACCTCCTCAGACATGATCCTTGGTGTTTATTCCATCCCTAAGCCATCACTCATGTGCTGTTCCCACTCTGGGCTCATCCAAGTCTGCTCTCACTGGTCCCACTTCTACCCTTGCTTCTGCCTCAGTTTCCCTTCCTCTCCTGCAGTAGGTCTGGACAGCTCTGCTTCACTGGTACTTTCCATCCCTGGAAATGGAGCACGGCCAAGCTGTCCCCATCTCCCTCTGCTGCCATCCTTCTTCACTTCCCCCATGCCTTGTCCAGGCATATCCCCAGCTGCTCCAAGCACATCCTTTTCCCAAATCACCAGCTTTTTCCACCAAAGCACTCCTGCCACCCCTCCAGCTTGGCCGCCACCTTTCCTCTGTGCAGGACACCAATCCATCACCTAAAACCTGAGTGAAGGCCCCATCCAGATACTCTGGATGCTGCTGAGGAGCAAATTCTGTCTGCTTTTCAACATATTAGTGCCTCTTCCCAGGAGCCACCTGCAGGGACAGACCCTGTCCGCACCTGGGGTCCCTGAGTGACACCAGAGCAGAACCCTGTGGGGCAACTGGCCAAAGAGCCATTCCATGTCCCCTCCAGCCAGTGAAGACACAGGCTATGTGTGCTCAGGATGGTTCCAAGGACAGGGTGGCACTGTCCTGGGCATGATGCCCGCCTGTGGCTGGGCTTGGAGACCCAGCAGCTCAGGCCAGCGGGTGAATGTTCCCTAGCCCCGCTGGCGGGGAGGCCAGGCTGAGCAGACACTGCTGGGCTGGGGCACCCCGGGTGCCACTGCACTCTGATGTCCCCGGCTGTTCCTCTAAGGCCAGGATTCAGCCCCAGCCACGGGGCCCGGAGGATCCCCATCCCTGTCCCCCCATGGCGACCCACTGCCCTCCCGGGAGGGTGGGGCCAGCCCCGCCCCGTCAATCTCCACCTACCTGGCCAGCCCTGCCCACTGGCGCCAGCCCAGCTCGCCCGGCCCGGCCGCGCCCACCCCCCCAAGCTCCGCCCCCTGTGCCAACACCCACCTGCTGGGCAACTGGAGCTGTCCCCGCCCCGGCCCACCTGGCTGACCGCGCCGACCCAAATAACCTCGCCCACTCTGCCTAACCCCGCCCTCCCGGCACAGCCGCGCCCCGCTGTAGCCACTCCCCGTACCCGGCGGGCCGTTCCCATCGCACCGCGCCCCAGCCTGACCCGGCCCCCTCAGCTGCCACCTTCCGTTCCTCGCCGTTCGCATTCCCCGCCCCGCCCTGTCCCGCCCGCACCTGGGCGCGCTCGAAGCTCTCCCGCTCCGCCTCCAGGCCGCCGCCGCCCGCCCGCCGGCTCAGCACCTTGGGCAGCGGGTTGGACACCTGCTTCATAGTGCTGCTCACGCGGTCCATGGCCGCCTCGGGCCCGCCACCGCCCCGGCCCTGCCGTCCCGCGCAGCGCCGCCGCCGCGCGGGCCCCGCGCCATTGGCCCGCCCACCTGCCACTCACGCTGGAGCACGCCCCGCGAGCACCACCCTTCCACCCGCAGCTCCACCCGCAGCTCCGCCCGCAGGTCCGACTTCTCGCTCTCATTGGTTCCCGGCGTCGCCCCTGGGGAAGGTCGGCCGGCAGGCCCAGCCCCTGCGTGGCAACTGCCAAGTTCATTGGTTCATCTGGACGCCGGTCAACGCTAGCTCCCGTCCCCCAAGAGTCCCCTGCCCATTGCTCCACCTTAAGGGGCCGCGCCTTTAGCACCGCCCACCCAAGCTCTGCGGCCGCGCCTTCGCGCGGTCCCCTGCTGTAATTGGCTCACGACCCTGCCGCTCACACCTCGGTGTCCCGCCCCGCCCCTCACCGATGCGGGGCGCGGCGCCCCCTGGCGGCGGTGGCGATGGCGCTGATGCCGGGCCCTCGCGGGAATCGGGCCGCTCTCGGGCCTCGCCGGGAAGTGCTCGGCCGTGTACAGGGCACCGCCGCGGGGTCCGCCGGGCCCGGGGGGCTGTTGTCCAACGGCTCTAAGCCGCGGCTGAGCCATTCGGGTCCGCAGGCCTCGGGGGTCCTTACAGGTTGTCCGTGCGGCCTGCGAGGCTGCAGCCCCTCAGCCGAGGCCAGAGTGTGACCACGGGGATGACGCGGCACCGCTGTCCCCTCCCTACTGCCCGTCTCCGGTCCAGCCCGGCCCCTCTCGGAGCTGAGCCCCCGTGGCACACGGGGTGTTCGTGGCTCCCCAGCCCTGCCTGGGGCCGGGGGTGGGAGGCGGCTCCACCGTTTGTCAGCGCGAGCAGGGTCCCGGCAGCCTGCGGAAGGGTTGTGTGAGGCTTTGCCTTTGTGGAATCCGGACTGTGGGTGGGAGCTCTGGAGGGGGGTGCTGCCGGCACAGCTGGCAGAGCCCAGCAGGAAGGGTGTAGCATTGGCAGAGGGGCAAAATGTGGTTGCAGGTGTCTGAAAAAGAAGAGAGGAGAGCTGAGAGAAGGATTTTGCTTCCCCTGAACAGCTGGACTGTGTTTTATTATAACCTGATCTGAGCCTGTGTCTCTGGTCCTGTCACTCAGATCAGAGATTTTTGTAGAATTAGATTGGATATCGGGAAGGAGTTCTTGGCTGTAAGGGTGATTGAAGCCCTGGCACCGGTTGCCCAGAGAAGCTGTGGCTGCCCCATCCCTGGAAATTATTCAGGCCACATTGCATGGGACTTGGAGAAAGCTGGTCTAGTAGAAGGTATGCCCATGGCAGGGGTGGAACAGGATTGTTGGAAATGATGCAACTTCTAAATTTTTAAACTAACTTTAATCAGGGGTTTTGTTCATCTTTGCCCAGGAAGGGAATGGAAGTTTCTTTTCAAGAGACTGTTTCCTGGGCAAGGCCTGATGAGCTTAACATCTCAAGGGACTGGGAGCCACCAGAGGATGCACCAGAGGTAAGTGACTATTAATGAACATCAACACCTGAACATCCTTCCTGGTGTGTTGGAAACACTTGGTCTGGGAAAAGATCATAAGAGAATGTTGTGGTGTGTTTTATGTTTGTTCAGTTTTCCCGCCATTGTTCTCTCAGAAGGTCCTGCCCTGTTACCAGTTTGTGTCAATCCCCAACCCCCTCCCCAGTTGTCTTGGTTACCAAATGTATCTTTCTTGTTCCCCACCCCTGGCAGCCTGCCTGTCACTCGACACCGCTGCCTCTTTTTCTAGAGAGTTCGGGCCAGGGTGTCGAGTGATTGGGTTAGGGGCCAGGGTCCCTCCCGCAACTGTGTTTGATGGGTTCTCCGATCATGCCAATCCTTAATGTATCCCTCTCTGATTTGCTATCTTTCACCCCTCCCACCCTCTGTAAAACCCGAGGCTTTCCCTACCTCGGGACTCTCAGCTCCTTCCACCTGAGCGTCCACGTTTCCCTACCAATAAAACCGCCCCCCCCCGAAGAAACTGAGGGTCGCCTCTTCATTTCATCCTGCGACTTCGGAGCTCTCTACTGCGGCCACACGTCCGCAAGGCTTGACATCGCCTTAGGCACAAGGCCCTGACTTCGGGTTGGGGAAGTGCCTGACTGGCTGGAGGTTGGCTGGACACTTATCTAGCCTGGGCGTTTTACTTTCCACCGGCCACCACTCCAAGAGAAGAAAGAGGACCTGATTAGCAGCTAAGGTAAAGGGATCAATAACCAATAGGAAACCAAATTCTAAGATCTGTGTTACTTGGGACCAATAAACATTGAACCAATTAATCTCTCTGAGTTTTGACTGTATAAGTATGTGAAAAATCTAGAAAAGAGACATGTGATGGAATTATTTTCTTTGCACAACCCAATGTGTGGATGAAATTACTTCTGTTGCACATTCTGGCCAGAACATCATCCTGGCCAGAATAAAATAATGCTTGAGTTCTCTAACATTAAAATTTGTTGGAAAGGTTGTGTTTTTCATGCTGTTTCAGTGACAGGATGAGCTTTAAGTTTCTTCCAACCCAAACCATTCTGGGATTCTCTCAACCTGGTGAATTGATGACTCCTGTAATTTTGACCAGGACTACCATCCTATTCCAGAGGTGAATTTCTCACTTGGAACATTTCTGCAATACTGGGAGAAATTACTTTTTTTTTTTTTTTGTGAAGGGACTGAAAAAAAAGGGACTGAATCCCCAGGTACTGTGCTGGGGTTGTGCCAGCTGGATTGCTGCATCCTAAAAAGCAGATCATAACAAATCAATGACTTTGCTCTGGGTGGGGAGGAACTGTGCAAAGCACTGCTGGGATGATGGGTCAATCTGGAAACAGCTTTTTAGCATGTGGGCTGTCAGGGCTCTTGTATAAGCAATTCTCCCGCATATCTCTCTATTGTGGCTTTTCAGCTGAAATAATTGCCACACCAGGACCTTCCTGGAGCTGCCCAGCAGGGTGTGTGACAGGCTGTTTGCATCACAGGCCTTCCCGGTCCCTGTGCATTGGATATCAAATCCCAGTTGATCAAATCCAATTTGATAGAGCAGCAAGGCTATTCCTCCCACTGTGGCTTGTCTCAACTGCCTGTCTGCATTGTCCTTAATGTATTTTCTGGAAACCTGCCTCCTTCCTTGAGGCTGCTCCCAGGGGAGGTTTAATGGGTTTGATTCATCCACTGTTGCAGCAAGATGATTAATAATTGAAGAAATTACATCATTCCTGAATAGAGATGGAGGAAAGGAAGAGCAAAGGAGAGCACTGGACAAAGGACAGCAGTATCCTTGTGACCTCTCCCACCCTCCACCTCGCTCAGAATATCCTGCTCCTGGAGCCCATGGCAAGAGACCACTAGGCTGTGGCCTGGTGTAGCTACGCCCTCCTACTGAAGAGTAGAGCCACATCCTCTTCTTCCCTAGCTAGGGCTCAGTGCTCACTCTGGGACCTGGGCAGGAGCAGAGGATGGTGCTTGGGTATGGGACAGAATGGGCTGTTTCTACTGGCTGCTCCTGCCTCCCCTAGGAATGGGCTGTAACAGGATGGAGCTGGGATCCAGCCCATGAGTGGCTGGTCAGACCACTCTGGGCTGGCCCATTCATGCAGCATCTCTGCTGGAATGTGCTGTGGGACTTTGCAGGGATTTGAGAGGCTCCTTTCCACTGGGAGAGGATGCCTTGTTTTCAGGTAGTTGAGAGGGGAAGGCACAGAGCTGTTCTTGTTGAGCGTCTGTTCCTCTGTCTCAGGTTCCATGGGGAGATAATGGAGAAGGGCTGAAACTGAGCAGGGTGTGGAGGTAGAGCAGGTTGGGCTCTTCCTCCCCAGCAGGTCCTTTTTGGAAGCCATGGCTGGGGTTCACCTGCTCTGAATGCTCTGTCTTCACTCCTGTTCAAGAGGCTGGACTGAAGGGTGATGGCAGACCCCTTCATAGGAGTGTCTGGCCTGTATGGGGACAGACATTGTCTGGACATGGAGAGGACAATGTGTGCCCTCTCTTTTTTCTTGCTGAGCAGTATGTGGCACCCATCAAGTGCTGCTCAGGCCAGGCAGGTGGGACTGGAGCTCATCCTTCCCCTGTTGCAGGGCTCCATAGTTTCCTTTTCCTGCTCCATGCCCAGAGGCTCCTGTCCACAGGACCCTAAAGAGGGTCTGCTCCCATTCTGTCAGGACATCCTTAATCCAAAGGGGAAGGACAAGTGGCAGGAGAAGGGCCAGAAGAGACTGCAGGGGCTATGGGCCCTGTCCGGGGCTCAGGGATGCTCTTTTTGTGGGGGCTGGGAGCTAGAGTCTGTTTTTACAATTCCCTCCCCAGCCAGAGCTGGAGAGTCCCAGGGTGCTGCTGCAACACACATCATCCTCCCGTGGCCTGGCCTGGGCTCAGGGAGAGCACAGATTCCCCTTGTTTCACCGGGAAAACAGAATCACAGAGCTCCACAGTCCTTCCTCTGTTATCTCGCTGGCTGTGCCAGAGAGGGCTGTGCTAAGATCCTGCTCTTTCACCCTTGGAGGTGGGAAAAATGGATCCTAAATGGATCCCCTTCAGTAGTCCCTTTACACATTCCAAGGCACACCATCCTGATCGCACCCAAGCAGACAAGCAATTCCTGGGGCCACATCTTGAAAGGGCAGTGGCTATGTCAGGCCTTCCATAAACCAAATCCTGCAGCCCCAGATGCAGCTCTGCCCTGGTGATGGGGTAATTTGCTCAGACTCTGGGATAAAAACAACTTCTGAGCCAAAGTACCCAGCTGGAAAGGGCAGGGTAGTGGTCCAGACCCAGCAGGAGGGTCCTTGGGGAGCAAAGATTGTGCCAGGAGGAGCAGGCATGGGAGCATGGGGAGAATTTTCATCTTTTGATCCCATGTTTTGAATGCTTTGGGCAAACAGATGTTGCTGCTGAGTCTTTGCTTGTGCTCCCAAAGAGATCCTGGGCTGCTATGTGGGGCAGGGACAGTCTTGGTGCAGGACCTGGGAGAGTATTGGAGTCTTGGGAGAGCATTGGAGGTGAACAGTCTAGGATTGGGAGAGGGTCTTGGAGAGGACTGCTTGGCTAAGGTGCTTGAAGTGCAATGGCGCCCTCACCTCTGTCCTGTCTAGGTCTCCTTCTTGCCCAGGTGTTACAAGGAGGGCTGTAACCCCAAAACATCATCTCCTGTGTTTTCTGCAAAGCCTCAGCAACTGCCTCTGCTTGCCCAAGACTTCAAAAGCAAAGCTGAAGAGGTTTCCAGATGGATCTGCAGGAGAAGACCTGAACTCCACAGGGACACCGGGCTGCATGGGCAAATGCCTAGATGAGAAACCAGCTCATGAGCAGGACCTGGAGGTGGGAATTGTTTTTGCCACTTGCTGGATGGTGTCCCCTTGGCATGGCCAGCAGGTCCAGATGGAGCACCCCACCAAGCCCAGCTCTCTTCCAAGGCAGGACATGGCAAGCCTGATTTCACAGAATGAATTGGTTGGAAAAGACCTCTGAGATCATCAAGTCCAGCCTATGACTGATCACCACCATGTCGATTAGACCATGGCACTAAGTGTCACATCCAGTCATCTCCAGGGATGATGACTCCACCACCTCCCTGGGCAGCCCATTCCAATGTCTAATAACCCTTTCTATGAATAAATTCTTCCTAATTCTTCCTTTATTTCTGTATTGGGAGCTTTGGCTGCCAGAGTTGGATTACTGAGGAAAGGATTTCTGTGTGAGACTTGGTGTGTGCAGAGTTGAGTGTGGGAGCTGTGTGCTCATTGCAGAGCAGTCTTGGGAGAGCACAAGGCAGGTACTGCAACAGGGCATGAGTATGAATGTAGAGAGCCAGTATATCCCTGTCTTCCCTTTATGATACAGGAAACGTTCTGGCTCTCTACAACTCCCTAGCAGGAGGGTGGAGCCAGGTGGGGTCAGGCTCTGCTCCTAGGGAACGAGTGATATGACAAGGAGAAACGCCTCAAGTTGAACCAAGGGAGGTCCAGGTTGGATATTAAGGAAAATTTCTTCACTGAAAGAGTGGTCAAGCATTGGAATGGGCTGCCCAGGGCAGTGGTGGAGTCACCATCCCTGGAGGGATTTAACAGAAATAGAGATGTGATGCTTAGGGCTACAGTTAGTGGTGGCCTTGGCAATGCTGTACTCAATGATGTTAGAGGTCTTTTCCAACCTGAATGACTCCATGATTTCTATGTTTTCCATGATCCAACATCGACCAGTACTCTTGTCAAATGTTGTTTTCAGGATTCCTGCAACTCTATGGCCTAACTTGCAGATGTCCCCTGTACCTCCAGCTGATGACAACAGGCGGCAGAGTGTGCAAGGACAATGCAGCTGTCACTCTGGTACTCGGCAGCCTCAGGTCCTACCCGTCTCAAACCCAACACCAAATGGTTTTCTTTTCCTTTCTCTGAACTGTGGCTAAACCTGTCACGCTGTGCTGCAGCTGCTGGACAAGCCATGATCAGCTCCAGGCCAGTTGCTGCTCAGTACTGAGGACATTGTTGGGGAAACAAAGGAGTTGTGGCAGAGGCATCATTTGGCTGTCCTGGGAAGTACCACCACATTTCTGTGAGGGCCACATTCCAACATGGCATCCAGCCACATCCTGCGCTTTTAGACTCCTGGTCACAAAGTGAAGCTTTTATAGGTGCCCAAAATTTGTCTTGGAAAATTGCATGGACTGCAGCAATTTATTTCTGCCTTGCTGTGTGCTTAGAAACTGTTGGAGTCTTTCTGCTGACATTTACCAAAAATATTTCTCTGGAGGCACATCCTGGGGTGGCTGTAGATTTCAGTCCCGGGATTTCAATGCAATTTCGTATGCTGCTCTGTAGCCCTGATGGTTCTGTTGGATCAATTGTCCCGGAGAATCAAAGATGAACAGTCACAGAGGATGCAGACTAAGGATCCATCTACATCAGCTTTGATACCTCTAGATGTGGTCACAGCAGACCCCTTGAAGAGACAGATCAATATTTGTACTGCACCCTGGAGTGTGCTCCCAGCCTCCAACCATTCTCATTTTCCAAATCTTCTCAAGCTTATCACCCTGAAATCCATACTCAGACTCAAGAAAATTTCCTTGTCCTCACCATGTCCCTTGGAAAGGAGCTCCTCATGTGAAGAGCTGCCTCCCTCTGTTCCTTTTGAACCTTCCTCTTGCCCACTCCATTGAATAATCTGTGGCTCCTGCTCTGGGGCAGGCAGTGAGTATTCGCTTTGTCTCTCTTTCTAGGCCACTTATCATCTTGCAGACTTCAATTCAATGTGGAAAGTCTCAATTCTTCTTGAAAATACTTCTTCT